GGGAGCACGAGGCGGCGCCGATACAGTCATCAATGTAATGGAGGAAGAGGTGGGGTTTAGGGCCAGTGTAGGTACGGAAGAGGGATTGTTCCACGTAACCTACAAAGAAGCAGGTATAGCTTGGGCCCATGCGGGTACCCATGGCCACCACCTTTGTCTGTAGGAAGTGGGAGGAATTGAAAGAGAAGTTGTTGAGGGTGAGGACGAGTTCGGCTAAGCGGATGAGGGTGTCAGTGGAGGGGGACTGGTCGGGCCTGCGGGACAGGAAGCAGCGGAGGGCCTTTAGGCCATCTGTATGGGGAATGCAGGTGTATAGGGACTGGATGTCCATGGTAAAGATGAGGTGTTGGGGACCGGGGAATCGGAAGTTCTGGAGGAGGTGGAGGGCGTGGGTGATGTCACGGACGTAGGTAGGGAGTTCCTGAACCAAGGGGGAGAAAATGGAGTCCAGATAGTTGGAGAGAAGTTCGGTGTGGCAGGAGCAGGCGGACACAATGGGTCGACCAGGGCATTCAGGTTTGTGGATTTTGGGAAGGAGATAGAAGCGGGCAGTGCGGGGTTGGGGAACGATGAGGTTGGAGGCCGTGGGTGGGAGGTCACCTGAGGTGATGAGATTGTGGATGGTTTGGGAGATGATGGTTTGGTGCTCGGGGGTGGGGTCATGATCAAGGGGGTGGTAGGAGGTGGTGTCGGAGAGTTGGTGCCTGGCCTCGGCGATGTAGAGGTCAGTGCGCCATACTACAACTGCGCCTCCCTTGTCTGCAGGTTTTATGGTGAGGTTGGGATTGGAGCGGAGGGCTGCACGTTCTGCGGGGGAGAGGTTGGAGTGGGTGAGAGGAGTGGAGAGGTTGAGGCGATTGATATCCCCACATACCAAATTACCAATTTGAATCAAATTCTCCTACTGACTCTGCCTCGTCTCATTCCAGCATAGTCTGTATGTGTCCCTCACTGACTGTGCAGTTTTTTTTTCAAATCCTCTCTTGTTTAGAGAGAGTGACAAGCACTATAATGATCAACATTAATGGGCTGCAAGCCTGGGTAGTTCAATTGATAGAGATTAAAGGGTGCCCAGATTGTATTACTGGGATAAAGGTGCAAGGCATTTACACCTGGAGATAATGGCAGCAGCTTGTGTGCTAGCAGATAGACCACAAGTCTCCAAATTTCCAGAACAGTATTGAGAATGTCAGGTTGTAAACAGCTGTGCTTTACATTATCCATTTATATCCAAGATAAAAGACAGAGTTGGGTTCTGAAGGACAGCTAATCAGCATTTCTCCTGGGATGGAAGACTGTGTGATTCATAATCCCAGGGTCATGGCCTTTGAGATGGTAGGGTAGGTATCCCTGAAAATTCTAAGGCAAGGTTCATCCGCCAGGATCTCAGAGAGCAGAGCATCTGGAAGCCAAAATGCTCCTACATGATGAACCATGTAGGAATGTGGGTTGAAACTTATGCTCAGAAGTAAAATATCAAATTCATGAGGAATTGAAACAAGATTGGAAGATTCATCTGGATTTGTGTGCTACAGCAGGAATCTCTGGGGGAAAGCCTCACTGAGAAACAATATTCTGAGATTTAAAGTTCCCTGACTGAGAAAGGAAAAGAAGTAAAATATTAGGAACTAGAATATCCTTGAACTGATTCCAGGAGAATTGAAATGTTTACTTTAAAAGTACTTTGTAACATATATTTATGATGTACTCTCCTGCAAGTCATTGAAGTGGTTTGCCACAATCTCCATATATGTCTCTCAAAAGGCACTGACCTTGGATAATAGTGAGGCCCTTGAAAGACACAGTTCGTCATGAAAGGGACAGGAGCAGGAAGTGAGAGAGAAGGAGAAACTGGAGACAGAGGAAGATGATCGTGAACAGAGAGGTACTCCTGCTCCATGAGGAAGTGATCTCCTTCAGCTGTCTTGTGGGAAGGCAACTTCCCTTCCTTATCATGGTATTCCGATTCTATAACAAAACCCTGAATAAACTGTAACCAATTTAGGCCTCCAATTTCAGTTAATTATCAGGTTTGAATTTCTGATTATAAGCTAGCCACAAAAACCAGTGTAGATATCAGTTAAGCACTTTCTCTACTTTGACAGCAGAAGGATTGAGAAGGCAGGCAAGATCCAAGCCTTCAAATTCCTACAAGGAATAGAAGGTGGGAAAATTCTGACAGTGAGTATAGATATAAAGAATGCAACACCAAATCTAACAAATGAGAAGAGATTAGAAAACAAAATTCATTTGGAGCTTTAGGAATTTATTAACAGAGAAACAGTCAATGTAGCTGTAGGATTATTAGGGTCTTGGATTGTTAGTGTTGTTAACATAATGGTGACTTTCTCCAAGCAACAGTAGGATAAAAATATAGTTGGCAATGGAGTACATACTGAGATGCAGATTTAGATTAAACTGATTGATATTCCAGATCACTGAAGGATCATCTGCTGATAAGTTCAGGTGAGGCGGAGGAAACTTTCTTATCTCTGGATGGTGGTCGGCCAAGATTTAATATGAAGATTGTGGCAGTCCAGAGGTAGATAGTAGCATTGTTTGATTCTTTTGGAGTATTTGGCCGTTTCTCATGCAAAACATTCTGTCAGGAAATTAAATGGCTAAGGCAGATTCAAGAAAAAATGATTTGGCAACAGGATTAGTTGGTAGGAAAAAGTGCCTTGTCAAAATCTCTTCTACTCATACTGAAGAATCATAGGGAGTGTGAAATCAAAAATCGCATACAATGCTCATATTTATACAAGAAGAATCAGATCAAGATTTATTATTTATGTGTGGTGATATTTAGTTCAGGAACTGACCTACATAAACCGACATTGAAAGAAACTCTCAACCAACAGTTAAGGGATGCAACTTGACACTGTGGAAATTACATTAAGAGCACTTGGAAATCTTTTGGGATTTTACACGAAACTCAATATATTACCAATAACCACTTTATTTAACTACAATTATAAAAATAAGATTAACATTATAATTGTCCAGCAGTACTACATCATCATTAACAAAAGATTAGATCAAACACATTAATTGTAAATTTTTAAAGGTACCAGTACACAATTGCACAAATTCAGAAATTTGAAAGCTGATTAATCTACATTCAGGTAACTAACTTGCTTTTTATAAAAAGATTCAACCAATTTCATCTGCAAGAATATTAGGAGGATCATTGATAGTTCAGAATGTTCTAATGATGTTCTGATATAGGTTTCTTTTGTCCTGAACTATCATCGTCTTCTTAGCTGAGAACCCACTTTCTTCAGAAAATTTCCAATGCTCAAAAATCTTCTGACTTATTTGAATGATGGTGAGCCTTAAATAACTGAAGCTACTAAAACTGAGCATCACTTACCTACAGTCAGATCAATCATAGAATATACTATTATTAATTATTTCAAAATGTTAATATTTTGTGTTATGGCCCTTCCATTTATCTTTCTTTAACTATGGAAGAGGACCAGAAATTATTACTGTGCAATGACGAAAATGAGCTTTGAATTATTGGTTTCAATACCAAAGATAAAGACAACCAGTACCTTTACCTGACATTGTGAAGGCAAACATTTTCTAGAAATAAAGTCTTCCCATTCACTTTTACTACACAGATGGTCTATTTTTCTGTAGGTATGTGTTTGCACTATTCTTGACATTACAATTTTAATTTCAATGGTCTATATTCATTTAACTCATTTAAGGAATTAAACACCTTAAGTATTTTCTGAAGAAGGATCTAGGCCCGAAACGTCAGCCTTCCTGCTCCTCTGATGCTGCTTGGCCTGCTGTGTTCATCCAGCTCTTCACCTTGTTACCTTAAGTAACGCTATTGTTTAAGATTCTCCATGAGCAATATATAAATAACTACACTAATGGTGGCCATGAAACTTCTCCTCTTTGGACATAAACTCACTTTTTTCTGGCTGTGGAATTTGGTCCTTTGATTCTTTTGACTTCAACTGTAATGTTAGGTCCTTAATTTTATTCAAAGCCTCATGCAGACTTTCATCCAGAGATGTTGCCCGTTCCTCAGCAAACATGGCACGCTGTTCTGTTTCTCTATGAAAGATCAAGATTTCTAATCAATTGTCCAAAAAAAAAACCTGAAAATATCAAGTAGGCATGTGAAATTAACAATTAAAAAAATGTAGTTCTGTGGGCACATGGACTAGACCTGACAGATTAAAACAGAATTAGAAAACAGCATTCAAATGTATGTCTGAATTGAGTATTATATAATTCAAATTGAATGATTTAAGATACATTCTGGAGATTTTCCTGCAATATTGCTTAAACCAGCAACCGGTTCTCCGTGTTTCAAACGTTTATGGGACTTAACCATACACCAGAATGGTTCCAGGTTATATGCTTGTTATATGCTGAGTTAGCTGATCAGTGAGGCTATGGTAAGTGCTAAAATTGGTTTCTGCATCCTTCTATTAGGGAAATGAGTACTGTCCACCACTTTTGTTATCCCTGCTGAAAATGCACAAGTAGATATTATGTGATGCAGTGACTTGGATTGTGCAATGAAATACAGGTGAGGCTACTAATGCTCATTGATATTAATATATAAACCAAACAGCAATCGGCAGCAGCAACTATATGTGCATAAATGAAATGCAAAAAGCAGGAAGTTGTTGGCTTAGTTAACCTGTTTCTCTACAAACTATGCCATAGTTGCATTTACTCAAAAATCACATCATCAAAACTCATGGAAGGTGGGAAATCTGGAAAATAAAGTCATTGCTAGTCTGCTCCATTTCAATTTAAGTTTTAATGGCATGGCTAGTTATTATTACTACTAATAATCAGGCACTGAAAAGAAAATTTTGCAAATTTAAAGTCTCATTGTTTCAGATTTTGGTTATTACTGAAGATTTAAAAATATCACCTCATGGTTCAGACTCTGCACTTCTCACTGATGATTCTTCAATCTTATTGATAAAGGAGGTATACAGTTCTTTACCCTATTGACATAATCCCACACGTAGCCTGTGGAGGGTGATGCATTTGAATGGTTTCTGAACTAAATCAATTAGCAATTCAAATATTCATAAGTAGTCCCTGGCCAATATGATTGAAATAATCTCAAATTGCTTGCTTTAGCTCATGTTGTGATGAAATGCATAATTTTCCTCTCCACCTATCTTCTCCTCTATCCATCTTCTATCCGCCTCCCCCTCTCTCCCTATTTATTTCAGAACCCCCTTCCCCTCCCCCATTTCTGAAGAAGGGTCTAGGCCCGAAACGTCAGCCTTCCTGCTCCTATAATGCTGCTTGGCCTGCTGTGTTCATCCAGCTCTGCACCTTGTTGTCCCTGCATAATACTTATGTTCCCTTTAGACTTGACTAATTCAAGGTATTTGTGGCTGGCATCCGATTTTCTATCCCTTGTTAATGTAAGATTATAAAAACTTTCGTGTCCACATTCTAATTTGCATCTAGTACTATTTACCAACAGTTCCTGGGCTCACTAACCTGAACAAGCTCCCAATTAAGCAAAGTCACAATTTTAAATTCTCATTGGTTTATAACTTTCTCAATTGCCTCACCCTGTAATCTGCTTCAGCACTATAAACCTTCAACATATTTGTGCTCCTCCAAATTTATGCATGTCCAACTTTAATCGCTCCGCTTTCGGGAGTTCTGCCTACAAGCTGCCTAGACCCTAAACTTGAATTAATTCTCGAAACCCCACTGTCTCTCTTTGTTCAATATGCTCATTTTAATGCATTTCTTTTTCTTTAGCTAAGCTTTTAGTCACGTGACCTAATAGCTGTTGCCTAGCATCCTCATGGGACTCAGGGCAACACCTAGTAGATCGACTGAGTTAACTCCATGAGAGTGAATGTCAGGAAAAGCAATGAGATTGCCAGGGGATGCTGTGATTGATAGCAAAGAAGTAGGACCCCAAGTGGAAGAGTTCAATGATTTCTGAGAAACTGTTCAAGCAGACGCATGGATGACAAGTAGTTCGGGATCAGCTGATCACAGATGACAGGGATGTAAAGGAAGGAGCAGAACAGGTTGAGATGCTCAGTGCAGAAGATAAAATCATAGTAAAGGTCACACTGGTTGAGGTAAGATTCATGATACAATGGATAAGACATTATGAAATGATCATAATTAGCAATACGTACATCAGTATAGACATGAAAGGGAAAGGTCATTGGAAGCATCAGTCACAATTATAGCAAGTCACTAGTTACTTAATATTTTCCAGAATACTTAGTTATGGGAGCAGATGAACTATGCTAACCATGGTGGTGGCATGTGTTGTGGGGACAATACATGTGAAGTTGGAAGAACACAGCAGGCCAGGCAGCATCAGAGGAGCAGGAAAGTTGACATTTCGGGTCAGGACCCTTCTTCAGAAATGCGGAATGGGAAGGGAGCTCCAAAATAAAGAGAGAGAGAAGGGGTGGGGCTGGGGAAGGTAGGTGGGATGGTGATAGGTGAGTGCAAGTAGGCAGTGGTGGGGATTGGTCAGTGGGATGGGAGCGATGGATAGGTGGGAGAGAAGATGGACAGAGATAATAGGAACTGCAGATGCTGGAGAATCTGAGATAACAAGGTGTAGAGCTGGATGAACACAGCAGGCCAAGCAGCATCAGAGGAGCAGGAAGGCTGACGTTTCGGGCCTAGACCCTTCTTCTAGGCCCGAAACATCAG